GGCATGGAGTCCAGCAGGGTAAAAAACAAAACCTCCCAACAGGAGATACAGTCATAAAAATAGGGATAAGTTAGGATAAAATCAGGAGAGGCAGACAGACGGATGTGGCAGCGAGGACCGAGAGAGAAGGATTTGTAATAGAGAGATAGAGAGGCAGAATGACAAAGAGGAAGAATAACAATGGTGCCAAAGCCTCTTCCATCCTCCTTGCAAACGTCCCTGATCCCTTTTTTGCTCTCATTTAAATTCCTCTCCATTGTCATTGCAATCCAGGCCTAACCCCCCACCGCCTGGCAAATACACACCCACACAAACACGCACTAACACTGGTGGACACTGGAGAGCACATGCATTGACCTCCACGAGCAGGCCGACCATCCCGGGGAGCCGTGCTCACACATCTCTGCTAATCCCCATCAATGGGCACGCACATGCACACACTGACAATGTTTGCTGGAGAGATAGGCTCCAGTTTCCCCCAGACTGCTGATGTCTGCGTGACCCCAGCCCTGCTAACATGGGTGGGGAATAGCAAGCAGCTTGTCACCAAGCATCCAGTGTCTTGTCAGCAACACAAGGGCAGCCTGGCTAGCACAGCGCTCAGCCTCGCCTTGTCAACATGTATAATTGATATAGCTAACTCTATTCTTCTCCTCGGCCTGCCGGTCCCCGCTCAACAGTGCTTAAGAGCACGATGCAGGGGCTTGTCAGCTGTGGTGTCGTACACAACAGCCCCACCGGCTGCATCTGAACAGGAGCACCTCTCGGATATGACACCGCTGGACTCCTCCACAGGACCGTTCACATGTCTACCACGGACCAAACCAGTCAGAGCATTTTCAGGAGTGCCTGTGTGTGTCCTCGGCATTCCTACAGTGATCCTATGAACACCAGACAGGATCTGTTCAGTGACACACACCTGGACACCCGCTGGGCTGCTCCACCACGAGCTCTCCAGATGCCAGGACGGAGTCCCACCAGGAGCAACACCTTCTGCCCCCCATACTGTTAAATGTCTGCAGACCTGTTGTACAGCAGCAGCAGGGCTCGAACAGAACCCGGACCCGGCTGGGTTCATACAGCTCCTTGGATCATCACCTTCTTGTCAACACGCCGAGGTCACAGAGATGACAGCCGGCATTGATCTTCATGTTAGCTTGACATGTGGACGGTCAGCAGAGCCCAGAGTCGTGCAGCAGTGTGATCACGTATGGATTACTGGTTTCCTTGTCGCGGTCATGTCGGCTCTACTGGGCCAGAGATAGCAAACAGTGGTTAAAACACTGCTGTATGTGTTGTTCTCTGGACTATCATGAGGGCAGCATGTCCCTCTACCTCCTGCTAGCTCAGGGCGGAGGCGGCGCTGCATGTCGCCTCGTATCAGACACACCGAGGGGAAGCAGATGCTGGGATTGGGATGCAGCAGCGTATCGGTGAATGTTCCTGACGTGCACTGAGCACGATGAGCAGGCGTAGCATCTGGAGAACCTCCTGCTGTGTTTGGGCTCCGTCGATGGAGAACACATAGAGATCAGTTTGTTAGAAAGTCCAGCAGCGACGACTGTAATCACAGCTCTGTTCATGATGAGCTACAGGTCTGATTACAAGGACGCTGACATTCTTGTGACTCCTTCATGGACTTTGGTGGATCACCGTTAGACGTACGCTGACAGACGTAGATGTGGAAAGTGATGGCAGTTAAACTAGAGACGACCAGAGTTACAGGGTTGTTCATGGTTACTAAATAAAGCAAAGCTGAATGAAGGATGTGGGCCATCGCCACAAAGCCAGGAACACCTTTTCTACTTTTTGTTCTTTTTTCTTGGGCTGAATGCAAAAGTCTTCGTCGCCGTATCAGCAGATGTCATGCAAGAAGCTCTCTAGCTAACAAACCACATGTGAACCGGTTTGATTTATTCTGAGACACATATTCAATCAATCATGATGCAGTTTGCCGACAAAGACTCCCAGTATACTCCTCAACTTCTCTTACTTCTTATTCTCTCTCAGAAATGGGTTATTTTAAAAATTGATCAGCGCTCTGTGACATCGTCCGGCGCTAACTAATGAACTCTATTAGCAGCTGCTGTGGGCAAAACGAAACGAACACGAGCTGCTCTAGAGAGGAACAAAACACGTCCTGATGCTCGACACAATGAGTGAACGTGGAGGAGCTCTCAGGTCATTTTGAATCCATGAGGGCAGAACACACACACACACACACACACACATACACAGTTATTGGGAAAGAAGAAGAAGAAGATAGTGGAAGCTGGAATGACGGACACAAACACACACACAGAGGACAGAATAATATCGCCATGATTGCAAAACCTGAAAGTCAATTTCAAAGTCAATTTTATGCCAAAATGCATTTGCAGAACAAACCAGGAAGCGGCGCCGGGCGCAGCGTCGACAAATCAATGTCAATATGAGCTTAAAAACACTGTGTGTGTGTGTGTGTGTGTGTGTGTGTGTGTGAAGGTGGTTCTGGCGACAAGGCGACCCAGAGGGATCAGAACACAGTCTCTCACATTACTGATGACCCCTCACACGCTCGGCAGCAGGAGATGCAGCACTTACAGCAGTCTGGAGGAATTGAGCAACCTGCATGTCGCCGGTTCGTTCACAGCGATACAAGGAAAAAGAAAATGGTGGCGACAGGGTTTGATCCTCGGGGACAGTCTCACGTCTACACCGGGTCATGAGGCCGGTTCTTTTTCCTAAATGCAGCTTTAATAATCATGAGGCTAAATCTGCTCTTTCAGCGCGTCACTCAAAGCTGCACCGCCCTGGATAAACAGAGTGGGCTGCACCGAGCCACAGGTCTGGTACTGTGTGTTCAGAACTGCAGAACCCCTCAGCGCTGTGACCACGTCAAACATATGAATCAAACGCTTTACGCTGAGAAAGTGTCAAGAAGTCCGGCTTTGATGCAGATCTATGCGGCAGCTTGTCCTGAACCAGCTCAGAAAGGTTCGCTGCTCTCGCTGTGTTCAAACCGTGTTAACGTGGCGTTTATGTGATGACGGGTCCTCACAGCGCCGCTACAACAAACAGCTCGGGTCCAAGAATCACAGGGAAACAGACCCAAACATTTCTGCACCAGAACAGCCACAAAGCTGCACTTCATAGCAGGTGATCTACGTGGTGCTGAGGAGGGAGGAAGCGTCATGTTTATGTCCTGTTCATGTTTTTATTTTATCTGATGAACACACAGTTCGCTCAGTGAATGAACTCAGAGCACAGAGAAGAAGCAGCAACAACACGAAACAAACCGTCAAATCACAGAAACATGGCAGCGACGAAGACGTCCTGTCTGTCATCCACCAAATCCTGGATGACAGAATGAACCAAGACTGTAAACATTATCTAACAATGTAAAGCATCCTGGAAAAGGCTTCTGAACAGGCAGGAAGTCAACGTCTGGACCTCCCCGACGCCCTCAGAAAATCTTGTTTAAAGCAAAATAAAATGTTCAGTCCTGACATTTCCTGAGCAGCACACTTATGAAATATAAACAACAGCTTCATAACAGATGAGAGGAAAATGGCTTTCATGTCAAGACTGGACTTTTCTGACTTTAGAAATAAGTTATCCCGTGACCAGGCCGACCTGCTCCGGGCCGACGGGCCGACGGGCCGACGGGCCGATGGGCCTCCGGAGCCCCGTGAGGATTCCCTCCACGCACTTTACTTCACGTGTTTCTGAATCTCAGCTCTTTGTTTATGGCGATTACGCAACATGACATATGCCTCGCTGCGAGCCAAGCGTCCCGACGGGGAGAATAAATTCCTGAACTTGAACTCAATTACGATCACGGCAGAAAAACCAGAATCAGTGAGTAATTACACTGCATTACACCTGTTTGTCAGCCGTAGCCTCCAGCTCGTGTCCTCGGTTCAAATCCCCAGACCTGCACCGGCTGGGGGGAAGCAAACGAGCAGCTCCCTTCCCTCATCAACCATCGCTGAGCTGCCCGTAAGCGAGGCCCTTAACCTCCGGCTCCTCTGCTGCAGCTGCTGAGTGAGCAGCGATTGGCTAATCCCGAGTGCAAACATCATCTGTCATTTAAGTGGAAAATAAATCAGTCAGAATGAGATGCAGACGGTTGTTTGTAATTTTAAATGAGCGGCATTAAACTTTAGCTTGAGGTCTGTGTGAGTGAATCAAAGCGTGTACACAGACTATTAGTGTTCAAAGGCTTCCCTGTATGTAACCCTATAGTCCTGAGCTGTCAGTGTCAATGCATGGCAGTGGCCTGCAAGGAATCTGGATGTCTGTCTACGTGTGTGTCCGTGCCGTCTGCGTATTTCCTTCAGCAGGGCTGTGTGTGTGTGTGTGTGTGTGTGTGTGTGTGTGTGTAGCGTCTGCATGCCTCCAGTTTCCGTATCTGACCGTCGACATGTGTGTCGCTGGCATTTCTGGACACAGGAACCCTACACTCCTCCACTGAGTCCTTTCAACGCCCGCCGCGCCGCACACACACACACACACACACACACACACACACACACACACCAGCGCACATCACACATCCTACTGCTGACACACGCATGTCACCACGGCAACCAGATACAGCCAAAGACACGCTACCGTCAAAGAGGCAGGGACCACCATACGGGCAGGCCCAGGGGGGTCATGAGGGGCCAGCTCGGCGAATCAGAACCTACGCTGCAACTAAAAGCAGGTCACCGGGAATCTGGCCCCTCAAGTGACCGGTCTTCAGCCGGCCTCGTGTTCACATGTGCTAAACAAGCTCACAGTGTTTCATCTGGAGCGGCCCGAACCCGACGGAAAGACAAATCTAAAGGATGATGCAGACCCACTGCTGATGTGGTCGAGCAGGAAAACAGAAAGAAAAACAACATTTGTGATGTTTTAAAGAAAATGAGATCCTTCTGAGGCCCTCGTAGCTCCAGCAGAGACAACAACAAGCAAGTCTACATGAAACAACTGGATCGCTTTGAGCTCAATCCACAGAAAGGAACCAAACTCACCTCGGACGGGACGAAGTGTCGGCGCGATCCTCCTCTTCACCCTGTCGAGAACAACTCACGGTTAATCACTGCATCCAGAGACAACGTGCTGCCGAGGCTTTAGATCACAATGTGACAATGTGAGATGATTCAGGAGTCGGTTCAACCAATAAAAAGAGGACTTAGGTTTCCCAATATCTTTCCCTCGGCTTCTCAGGCTGGTCACAACCTCTAAAGAGCGACTATCTGAGCTGCCGCTGAGGAAGGCATCCAGCGAAACACCGGATGAGACATTTGATTGAGTTTAGCAGGAAGGAACATCATCTACAAATGGCATCAAGAGATCGTACAACTGATGATAAAAAAGAAAGAACATTAAGTTTCATGTAAACCGTGGAGTGCTCAGATGTCTGGACGTGGTTTTGCAGTTTGAGACACATAAAGAGTCTGAATGTCTCACACGCCGTCCTCTCCACACTCTGCATCTCCTCCCACTTCCTCCATCGCTCCCTCTTCCCATCTGGTTTCCATTCTCTCCACCTGCCCATCAGTCTGCAGCCGGGGACAGGTGAGCCTATTACACGCTGCTCACGCTGTCTGCTCCACACACTCGCATGTGCACACACACACAGAACCGCCCGGCCCGGCTTCACGGTGCTTTAGCCGGCCATGCACATCAGCCACATCTCCAGCGCTGTAAAACGGCTGTTAGCGCCGCCGCCGCGTCACGCTGCTGATGAAGCGGTCCAGTGTCCAATATAAAAGCAGCACCGAAAAAAAAGAAGGCCGAGATAATTCAGGAGGATGAAACAGAACAGGTATAATAGAATTTAAAAGGACAAAATAAAGATTTAGCCTTGAAATTAAACTGTTGAGCTACGAGCTCAGAGGCAGCTTGAATAAAACAGAACTGACTGATTAGAGCTGAAAACGCAGCTCTGAGTAAATAAATGACTTCAGTCTTTGTCACTCTGAGTGAATAAATGAAGGAGTGGAGCTGCAGGTTGGTAACGGCGTCGCTGGAATCACAGCGAGTGGATGAGCAGAAAGAAGAAGTGACAGAAAACACGTTTGTTCTGCTTCATAATGACAGTAAAACACGTCTGTGAGGGTCAGAGGAACGCTGACCAACACCAGAGTCACAGAGAAGCTGGACAGCGCTCAGCAGAGTCTTCACAGAGAAGACAAACCTTCTTTACTGCTGTTTTATTTCCTTCCATGGATTCACAGAGAGGTCGGTGATGCACAGACGTGTGTTGTAGAGGAACAGGAAGTTCACAGCAGGATTCTGTTTTTCACAGTAAGAGCAGAAGCCACAGCCATGGATGGGTCAGTTCAACATGTTGAAGGTTCATTTGGAGGTAAAACCTCTTATGCAGTTTGTGCACCAGGAGACCATCCATGGCTGCACATGGAGCACAGCAGCCAGACGCTGCACCGCGAGCAGGTAATTGATGGTGTTACCATGTAAATCCTGTTGGAATCACACTAATCAATGAGTGACTAACCTGCTGCTCAGGATCCACCTCCCGGCGTGTAAACACACCAGCAGACCACGTTCCTCCTCCTGTAGCTGCTCAGCTCAATAAAGATTGTTTTCACATATCCAGCCGGCTCATATTTCCTGCCGCGGATGAATTCTGACCTCGGCATCACACTTAGAGGACGTTTTGCTTGTTTTCTATTTTGCTGTGGATTTTTTTTATGTAGAGTCGAGGCAGCTCGTCTCAGTTTCTCCAGAGGCATCAGTGGCTGAAAGGCTATTTATTTATTTCCAGAAACCTTGTGTGCTGCTGCTGCTGCTGCTGCTGCTGGTGGAAGGACAGAGGTAGACAAAGCAGAGAGTTGAAGGGATGCTGGGGGATGCTGATGCTGCCGTGCAGCAACACTGCACAACGTGCTATCATGTGAAACATCACCTTTCAGACGAGTACACACTTTCTCTCCTCCCCTCTGTTTGCCTCCCTCCTCTCCACACACACCAATATTCTTCTTCCATTTTCCTCCTTTGCTTCCAGACCATGACACCAGCTGTATTTTCCCAATTCAGCACTTCTTGAACTCTCTGGATGACACAACAGCTAAGAACACACAAATAATCACAACAGGGAAAAAAAAGAGAAGACAGAGCAAAATAGCCCATAATAAAACCAGGAAATCAGCAGAAACAAGTCCCAAAGGCCTCCGAGCGGTTCCAGATACGGAGCTCCGCAGCATTAGCAGGCCAGCGAAAATTATTTATGTGGAGGGTGGAAGCACGATTATGCAAGAAAGACCGAAAACGAAAAGGAGAGGACGAGCTATAGATATAAGTACAGCGGCTACTACAGACGGAGGAGAATGCCAGGACTCTCAGAGATAATTACACCCTCAGCATGTGTCTTTTCAACACCCCCATAGCAGCAGATCATCCGAGTGCCGCAGCCACAGATATCCGGCTCCACACTTATTACGTTTTAATAATCATATCCCCTCGTATCGCTGGAGCGTCGCAGCGTGGGTGCGCTCTCACTTCAGCCACATCCTGGTAACAAGTCTTCAAGCCGCCGCTGAGGAAACGCACGCTACAGACACGACTCCAGATTTATTACCGAGTTCGCTAAAACTTGATGAGCAAGCCAACAGCCAAACGCGGTGACTGCATTTATCAAATTGTGCTTCTCTAAGGCCAAGAAATGAGCTGTGGGCCGTGTGGTCTGCTGGTTGGCTCTCCCACAGCACGATGATCATCACAACACGGCTCGTATCATCCATGATGCTGATTGTGAAACGCGCCTGGCTTTGGGTTTTGAAAGGAGGAGCAGCATCACCTCGCACAAACAACCTAAAAATACAGATGGAGAATTAAAAGGTTGCCCTAGCTCCTCCAAATCAATGTTCTGAAGAAGTCCTGAGAGCCGCTGGACTGCACGTCGACACACTCCAGCGTCAGCCAGCCAGACGGCCGCTCAGTGTTCCTCTGCTGCTCTGCTGGTCGCTGCTATTATTAGCGAGCAGGGGATCAGGTTAAGAAGACGAAGGCTGCAGGAGCACCGGGAGACACAGGAAGTGACTACAGCGGGAGGTAAAGCCAACGGAAACAGGCTGACCTTCACTCAGCAGCCGGTGAGTGAGAGACGGAGACATCAGCAGACCGTTCATCACACGCTGCACGGCGTCGATGCAACACGGAGGTCTCATAGCTAAAGCTGCTAGCACTAGCTTAAGCTGTGTTCTGTTAGACAGTCTCATGGCATCACGTCTAGAAGGCAGCAAGAAGAGGACCAGGTGGGCAGATACTTAGAGGAAGAAAGGTGAGACAGGAATCAGGTAACAAGTTCATCAGTCTTTGAAAATGGGAGTCTCTGTCGTCTCCTCCGTTCCCGTTAGATCTGCTCCACACCTTGAATAAAGGCACCAGGACCGGCTGAAGCAGCTCCTGATCTGGAGCTGAACCTGTGAACCTCCAGCAGCTCGTTCTCCATCACGCTGTAGATACACCACAGCTCCAGAAAACACGCCTCCTGTGCTGTGTGACGGTTATAATCAGACACAGAACGTCAGAGGGAAACAACAAGTGGAAAATCAGCCAGCTGTGACCAACACAACGAGGACTCCAGACATGAACTTCTATCTGCTCAGTGTAGACACAACCTGCAGTTCATCCCAGTTCAGCTCAGAGTTCAGCAGACTTCTGCCTCTGAACTCTTGTTTAAAGCAGTTGTGCACGATTCTTTAGTTTGTTTCTGAACAGATTCTGGTTCAAGCAGACGGGTTGTTGTTGACACACTGTGAATAGAAACCAGCAGAATGAAGCGGTTTGGATGAAATGTGAAGCTTTGTTCGGTGGCTGGCAGCCAGCTGACAATCTGCTGGTTCCTTGTTTTACAGTTTCTCATTCTGAGAAGTTTTCTCCTTAAAAACATCAGAGCTTCAAAACCTGCTGGTGGAATCAGAAGTTCAACGTGTGGTGTCTGTCTGAGCGTTACTGGGCAGCATCTGGTGAAGTCTGAGCTACCGGGACAGATCTAAAACGATCTCTATTAATAAGAAAAGTGGAATAAAATAATAGTAAAAAAAAAAACAGTGAACACTGAGGACTGCACAGCTAAGATGTCAGAGGTTAAGAGAGCCGGCTGGAGGCAGCGAGTTCAGACGATAAGCCTCATAATCTGCTTCATAACTGTCATCTGACATCACTGCAGCAGATGCTTCATCCTGGATCCTGTTCTCTCTGCTCTGGTACCGGGTCGGGTCTCTGTCTCACTGTAGTCTAACGAACACACAGAGGAAGCAGGAGGACGGCTTATTAGTCCACGACGTAACGAGGCTGAGGATGAGGAGGGTTCTCAGGAATACGCTGCCACAGAGGAGGAGACGCCAGCGTGGTGTGTGTGTGTGTGTGTGTGTGTGTGTGTGTGTGTGTGTGTGTGTGTGTGTGTGTGTGTGTGTGTGTGTTTTCTGCAGCTTGTATACAGCTGGTAGGGAACGTAGCTCCTTGTGTAAATGCACCATAAAGTGAGCTTGTTGGTTTTATGGGCCTGTGCATACATCTGATGCTTCCCGTGCTCACAGTGTCAGAACCGGCTCAGTGGCTGACCTTGCTCAGCAAACAGGAAATAAACCAGCTGAGAGGCAAAATGAGACGCGTTTAACCTCCTGCAGACCGCCGTGCATACAGATCGTGTGGGTGTAGAGGTTCAGGAGGAAGGACTGAAGTGTAATTTTACATCGACTGGGTATAAGATTAATATCTAAATTGGAAAGGAGTCGTGGTTGGATCACACACAGCCTGCAGGTTTTAGGTTTTTGCATTTTAGATTTTCTATATGGCAGGAACGAACACAGTGAACAATAAGCAGAGAGGTTTTGCTCCCCACAGTAAGTCTGAGCAAGAAATATCAATAAAATCTGCTAAAGTGTTTGAAAAGCCTGCTGAAGGAAAGCGAAGCTGGAGCGATCCCGACCAAGCTGAGAAAGAGTTGACTGAACGTCAGCGTTGGACAGATCAGAAGTGGAATCAGGACACTGTGCTTATGCTTCCAAAGTCAGGGAAGAAATGTAAATGTCAAGGAAGCTGTCG